CAAATCGGGAGGGGGATGGGGAGCACCTTGGGGGGGGCGTGGGGACACTCTGGGCACCAATGGGGCCCCTAAGGACCCCCCAGCACCCCCCAGGTGCCCTTCTTACCCAGGAGGAACCCCCAGCACCCATGGGTGCTGCCTGGTGACCATGGGACCCCCCCACGACACCCCCAAATTGGGAGGGGAGGGGTGGCATCAGCACAGGGGTGGGGGACACTCTGGGCACCAATGGGGGTCACTAAGGACCCCCCAGCACCCATGGGTGGCCTTCTGTACCCAGGAGAGCCCCCCAGCACCCATGGGTGCCACCTAGTGACCATGGGACACCCCCCCATGGCACCCCCAAATCGTGAGGGGAGGGGTGGCATCGGCACAGGGGCAGGGGAGCTCCTTGGGGGGGCTTGGGGACAGTCTGGGCACCAATGGGTCCACCTAAGGACCCCCCAGCACCCATGGGTGCCCTTCTGTACCCAGGAGGACCTCCCAGCACCCATGGGTGCTGCCTGGTGACCATGGGACCCCCCAATGGCACCCCCAAATCATGAGGGGAGAGGTGGCATCGGCACGGGGAGAGGGGAGCACCTGGGCGGGGGGGCTTGGAGACACCAATGGCACCCATGGGTCCCCCAAGGGCACCCCCAGCACCCATGGGTGCCCTCCCCTCCATTGGGAGCAGTGGGGCGCTGTCCCCAGGTGACCCCGTGTCCCCAGGTGACCCCATGTCCTGTCCGTGTGTCCCTGTCCCCAAACTGACCCCCTTGTCCCCTCTCTGTGTCCCTGTCCCCAGGTGACCCCGTCCTGTCTGTCCCTGTCCCCAAGTGACCCCGTGTCCCGTCCCTGTCCCCAGGTGACCCCATCCTGTCTGTCCCTGTCCCCAAGTGACCCCGTGTCCCGTCCCTGTCCCCAGGTGACCCCGTGTCCCCTCTCTGTGTCCCTGTCCCCAGGTGACCCTGTGTCCTGTCCCTGTCCCCATCTGACCCCGTGTCCCGTCCGTGTGTCCCTGTCCCCAGGTGACCCCGTGTCCCCTCTCTGTGTCCCTGTCCCCAGGTGACCCTGTGACCCATCTCTGTGTCCCTGTCCCCAGGTGACCCCGTGTCCCCTCTCTGTGTCCCTGTCCCCAGGTGACCCTGTGACCCATCTCTGTGTCCCTGTCCCCAGGTGACCCCGTGTCCCCTCTCTGTGTCCCTGTCCTCGCGTGACCCCGTGTCCCGGGGTGTCCCCAGTGACCCCGGTGGCACTTGGCTGTCCCTGCCCGACCCTGCCTGTCCCCACGGGTGCCCGCTGTCACCCGGGGGGGGGTCGATGTCACCCGGGGGGTGTTCTGTGTCCCTGGGGGTACCTGCTGTCCCCTTGGGTGGTTTTGTGGCCCTCCCCCCGGGTCCCCAATGTCCCCCTGGGTGCTTGGTGTCCCCCTGATGCCAGTTGCCCACCCCCAGTGCCCAGTGCCCCCCAGTGCCCCC